TTAATAATGTGGTTTTATCCCATATTCGGGGGGCGACGGGGGGGCGGGGGGCGCTGCGTGCCCGGGCTTGTCGTTGCGGAGAGCCGGGCAGACGGGTTGCTGGGGGGGGCAGGAGCATGCGTCGGGGATTAACCGTGGTGGGGCAGCGCGGTCGCGGGCCGTGTCGCGGCCGGGTTCGGCGCGGGGATGAGGGCGCTTCGCGTTGCTAGGGGGAGTGCAAGGGGGGTGAGGGGGACCCTGGGGCGCGCGGGGCGGGGGGGGGGTCCCCGGGAGCGAGCGGGGGGGCGGCCCGCGGGGAGACGGTGGCGTCGGGGGGCGGGGGCGGGGGGGCGCGGGAGCCGGCGGAGCCCGGCGGGGAGGGCCGGTGGCGGCGGGGATGGGGCACTCAGTGGGGGCGCGGCGAGGTCGGGCCCGGGGGGGGGCGCGGGGGGTCGGCCGGCGCGCAAGAGGCGAGGCCACGCGGGGGTGGCGGGGGGAGGACGCCACCTCGGGGCGGGGGGCGGGCGGCGCGGCGGGTGCGGGGTTGAAACGGGAACGCGGCGTCGAGGGCCATGCACCGGGAGCGGCGCCGGCCGCTGCCCGCCCCGGGGGTGGGCCGGCTGGGGCCGACGGCGGGCATCCGGGTAGCGGCGGGGTCGGGGTGCCACGGCCCGCGGGTGTGACAACCCCCCCCCCCCCCCCCCCCCAGGCTAGCCCAGTGGCCTAGCCGGGGGGGGGGGCAAGCCACCACGGCGGCGGGACCACCCGGGGAGTGCACGGGCAGGGAGCGCCCGGACGATAGGGGGGGCGGAGGGGAGAGCGGGACAGGTGGCGACAGGGGGAACGGGGGGAAGGGCGGGTGGGGTGGCCACGGGACCGCCGGAACGGGGGGAACGGGCGCAGGGGGGGGCGGAGCCCAGGCCCGGCGTGGGGCGGCGCGGCCCGTCGGGACGGCGGGGGATGCATGCGAGGAGCAGCCGCCTGCCACCCCCCCTTGGGGGCCCCGGTGCGACCTTGGGTTGTGCGTCCCGCCGCGGGGGGGTGGTGGGTTCACGGTGGGCCATGCGCCCGGGCCGCGTGGGTGGGGTCGGTGCCGGGGGCCCCGGAGACGGGGCGCGGGGATACGCTCTTGTTGTCCCCGCGTGGGCGACCGGGCGGCCGTCGGGGCCCCCTCCACCCCCCGGAGGGCGGAGAGGCGTTCAGGCCGGGGGGGAGGGGGCCGGAAAGGGGGGGCCCCGGGACGCCGGGGCCCCGCGCACCCTTGTTGGGCCCGTCCCGTGACGCCGGAGGGGGTGGACAGAGCCCCCAACCACACACCCCCGGGGGCGGGCTGTGAGGGGGGGGCGCGGGGGCGCTGGGCGCGGACGGGGGGCGCGGCCGGCTTCGCGGGGGGGTGGGACAAGTGGTGGCGCCCTGCGCGGGAGGGTCGGGTGTGACTGGGGCGCCAGTTTTGTGCAGGCGCCTGTGGGTGGGTGACTCCCACCCCCACCCCCGGTGGGGCGACGGGGCGCGTCGTCCCCCCGCGTGTTCTGTGCGTTGGACTGACCGGGGCTGGCCGGCGCTGGTTGAGTGCTTGGTGGGGGTCGGGAGTCGAGCGCCCGGCGCGGCCGGGGTAGGTGTGGCGGGGGCGATGGCGCGAGCGGCGGCACCCCCCAAGCGTAGCGGAGGGGGCCCGGGGGTGGGAGGCACCCTGCATGCTTGACAGCGCGGAGGGGACGAGGGGGTAGCGCGATCGGGCGCCCCGGTGTGGACCAGGGGGCCGACGGGGCCGGGGGGACGGGGGGGCCGGGGGTCGCTCAAGCACGGGGGGTGGGGACGCGCGCGGCAGGCGGGCCCGTGGCGGTTGGGGCCGGGGGCGTGGGGGCGACCCCGGGCGGGGGGGGCCGGGGGGAGCTCCGTCAGACGAGGGGGGGCCAGTCGGCTGCGCGGGCTGTCGCTGCCGGCGGCCGGTGGTCGCCGGGGCTGGGGGCCGCCCCGGAGGTGCTCGGGGATGGGCCGGGCGCTGGGACGGCGGGGCCGGGGCACCACGCTGTGCGGGGCGGCTGCCCCCGGGGGGGGCGGGTGGGACCCTGTCCCCCGGCAACTAGCCTCGCGCGGCGGCACGTGTGTCCTCTCCGCGGGGCGCGGCCGGTCGGCCCGTGGCACCTCGGCGGGCCCAGACGGGCCCGACGCCACCACCAGCGGGGGGGCCCCACCAGAACAGGCGGGGACGAGAGCCTCCGGGCCGGGCCCCTGCCGAGCGCAGGGGGTGGTCGGAAGGCGCAGCGGTGGCAGGGAGGGCGAGCGGGGGGGGTCGGGTGGGGAGGGGCGTACCGCCCGCCGCACGAGGGGGGGCGGTGCTTACGTGTGCGGGGTCACGTTTCGGCGAGCCGGGGCGCTCGGCACACCTGGGTGCGGTGACCATGGGTCGCCCGCGGGGGCGGGCCGAGGGGCAGGGCGTGGCGCGGTCGGGCCCTGGGGGGAGTGGGGGCGGGGCCGGCCCGGGCGCATACCATGGGGGCGCCGGGGGCCGGCCGCGGCAGCGCGGTGGGAACCCGGTAGTGGGGGGGGGGGAGCGGCGTTTTTTCACGTGCCGCGGTAGCGGTGGCGGTAGGGGCTCGCGTGTCGTGGTCCGGATGGGGGCCAGACGTGGGGTTTCCGTGAGAGTCTTACGGGAGCCCCTCCCCCGCGGCGAGGCGGAGCGGGGGGGGGGGAGGGGTCCCGGACTCACGGGCTTCAGCGGACGGGGCAGGCGCGCGCGGTGGGGGGGCCACGCGGGGCACCAGCGGGGGACCGGGCTAGGCGGGGCGGGCGGAGGCGCCGAGGGAGGGGGGATTGCGGACGGAGTGACACGCGCTCCGGGGCGACGGGGCATCGGGGCGCGCCCCCCCCACCCACACCGAAGGGGAGGGCATCGGGGAAGCGCCGCGGATGGGCGGCAGTGGCGGCCCACGGGGGAGGCGGATGCGGGGCGCGATCGCGCGGGGGGCGTGAACCTCCGCGGGGTCGGCCTGTCGCGCCCCCCCCGGGGAGGAGGGAGCCGGCTCGGGGTGCGGCAGGGGATCGCTCCCTGCTCCGGTGGGGGGCGGTACCGGTACCGCAGTACAGGAGGACCGGGTAGCTGGGCGGGCGTTCCGGGGCGAGGGGGGCTGTGTTGGGCAGTCAGTCGCGGGGGGGCCTTCGTTTTTCTGTGGTGGGGGGGTGTATTTGTGGTGCGCCCCGAGCGTGCACTCTGGAAGAGAGCCTCTTACGGGGCGGGCAATCGACCAGGGCCGCGGGCCGTCTTGGCGCAGTTGGGCCAGCGGGGGCGGGCAGCGGGGGGGGTTCTAGGTGCGACGCGCCGCGGGGGCACGGGGGGGGGGACGTCGCGGCTGCATGGCCGGGGGGGCCACACGCCAGTCTGGGGGGCGTGACCTGGGGGCGAAGGGGGCGACGGGTGACGGCCACACGGTGGGTGGTGGCGAGAGGGCACCGGGGGGGCTCGCCCCCCGGCCGGGGGTTCTCACTGCAGTCGAGGGCGGCGGGGCGAGGGTGAGGGGGGGAGGGTGGGGGGCCGAGCGCAAGGGCTGGTAGGCGGATTGCGGGTAACCCGGCGCTTGGAAGGGGCAGGGGGGGCGCGCGGGCATGCTGGGGGGGGGGGAGCGGTTCCCGTGGGCCAGGGGGGGGGTTACCTCCTACGGGCGGGATTGCGGTGGGGGGCGGCGGGGGGGGGACAGGTCGGCGTGGGCAGCGTGAGGGACGGGAGATCCACGCGGGGGGGGGTTGGAGGCGCCGGTGCGTGGCGGGTGGGCGTGCGCCGGCCAACAGGCGGGGGGGTGGCAGCCGGGGCTCCAGGGGGGGAATGGTGTGGTACGACGGGCGATCCAGGGGGGCGACCGCAGTGGCCCGGTGGGGTGCGTGTCTAGCGCTGTCGCCACCTGCCCGCATCCGAGGGGAGGGGGGTCATGGGTGGCGTGCCGGCGGGCGGACGCGGGTGAGGGCGGGGCAGGCAGGTGGAGCGCGCCTCGGCGGGCCAGCTGTGACACACCTGTCGGGGTGCGGGGTTCGCGCGGCTGGGGGGGACGCGCGGGGGGGGGATCGGGGGGCAGGGGCTGCAAGCGGGGACTGGTAAGGTGGGTTGGGTGCCGGGTCCGAGCGGACGGTGCGGGACCGGGAGGTCGCGGGATACCCCCCGTCGGGGATCGCGCCCAGCCGGAGGGGGGGCGGGGTCTCGTGGGGGCGCGGAAGCAGCAGGGTATGCGGGGGGGGGTTGGAGGCCGGGAGGGGGGGGAAGTCCGCCAGGGGCGGATGGGGGGGGGGCGGGGGCTGGGTCAGGGGGTCAGGGCGGTAGGGCGCCTGAGGGGTGTCGGCAGGCGGGGGGGGGAGGGCAGGGGCGGGGCCGGGTGGTGGAACGGGCGCGAGGGGGGGCGGCCTATCGGGGGGCGGGGGAGGGGGGGGGGGTGTGATGGCCAGGGTGGTCCGGCGCTCCCCCACCAGCGCATACGCTCACCTAGGACTGGCGGGCGAGCAGGGCGGACCGGCCGGTGAGCCGCCGCGGCGGCACCAGCGCCTGGGGTGGTCGCCCGGGTTGGAGGAGTCGAGGGGGTTGGGGGCGCGGGGGGACGGTGACGGGGCGGCGCGGGGCGAGAGCGAGCCTTCGGACGCCCTGAGGGGGAGGGGGCCCGAAGGCTGCGGGGCGCACTCGGGAGGGGGGGGGGGGCCCAGAGGGGGGGGGGAGGGGCGGGGACCCCGGGACGGGGAGGGCGCGGGATCTGGGTGACGACAAGGGCCGGACGAAGCACTGCGGTGGGAGGTTCCGGCGGGGCTATGGGGTATGGCGGGCCAGCAGGGCACACACACACACACACACACACACACACATACAGCTTGGGGGGTGGGGGGGGGGGCCGGGGCAGTTTTTGTTACCTGGTGGGTCCCTTTGACAGGGCCGTTCAGAATGGGACCCATAGACATAATCTTTTTTTACTGGGACTACTTTAAGTAATACAAAACAGTCAATAGAAACCAAACAACTATTTTAAAGGAATTTTATTTTAGAATTTTTTTTCGAATTGCAGTGATTCTATTTTTGACATAGAATTTAATGCCACTCCATGTCCGATGTCTAAGGTCATCTGGTGAGGCATTAATGCAGGCCAGGCAGTGAGACTTCCCAGGGACCTTTCCAGTCTGTATGAAAGGTGTCATGGTCTTCTCCACAGCCTTCACCTCAGATGCAGACCATGGCTTTCTTACACGTTCTAGGGAGAGAAATAAAAATATATTAGCAATATACACTCCCAGAGTTAGGACCAAGCAGCCTGGCTGTAATCCCCCACCTGGTACACTTACCAGAAGGGGCACTGCCACTACCATGGGGTGCATCTGGATGAATGGTTGAAGGTTCTCCGCTTGAAGTTTCTTTTAGCCCGTCCGTTTGTGAGAGGATCTCTACTGCTCTCCCTGTCGCACAGAAAATAAAAATACAAGTGGCCTTTAGGGGAAAAAAATCATACATATTTTAATAATATCAAGAATTACCTTCAGGCTCAATTTGTATCTGGTCGAGGCTCTTTCCTTCGAATTCCGTCACTCTTCCCTGCTCCATGGCCATCAACACTTTGCTGATTTTGGCCAGCTCCAGTGTCCCCTCTGGTAGTCTGTAATATTGCCTGTGGATGCGAATGTCATGGCCGAGGAAGTTGGCAAGTATGTCCATCTCATTCTCTTTCATATTGAGAACTGTAGACATAGTAGCTATGTGCTTTCTAAGTTTGGTTGAGGATAGCATCTCTGGATGCACCGCACCACATTCTTTGGCTACCTGGCGTAGGGAGTCTGATCCCCTGATGTGGGTGTCTGCGCCCGGGCGGGAAAAGAAGTATGGGTTATGGTCAGAGATGGAACAGGCCCTTCTGTTCTCCACCAGCACCTCCATCGAAGCAATCATTTCAGGAGTCAAAAGAACCGGCACTTTCCGACTTCTTTTCCCTTTAATTTCAATGCGTTGAAAATGCTGACACAGCTTTTTCTCAAGTTGGGACAGTCCCAGAGCAATGTCAGAATGGATCCCAGTCTTACTTCTTAAGGTAAAGGCTGTCAGTGGCATCTTTGAAACCTCACCTTCCCTTCTTCGATTGAAAATAATGACCTCACAAAGAGTCAAAACTGCCAGTTTAGACCAATGCTTAGACGTTGGCTCACTTATTAGGGTTTGCACATATTCAGGTCGACATACCTCAATATGTGCATGCATGGCTCTAACGTCCTCAGTCAGAGGGAGCAGGTCCGGAGTGTTCCACGTGGCTTGCCGGAGGGTCTGTAGGGCAGCAGAAGAAACACAGACGTCCCACCTCTTCTCAAAAAGCAGCCGGCTTCGTTGGAGGTTTTTAATAAATAGTTCATCAACACAATGCTCCATTTTTGAGTCACATTCAAGAATATCTGCTAGCTTTCTGAGGCTATGGCCGAGTTTGAGGGCCAAGGATGGAGTCTTGTATTGATTTGTTTCCTCATCATATCCAGCCACAGACCTGACTTGCATCAATCACATGGTTAAAGTTGGAAGGAATAAAGAAATCCTTAATTGTTTTCAGTTTCCCTGCAGTTTTTGCTTCGTTAATTAACCTACCGACTTCTCTCATTTTCTGCCTAATGTAATCATGCTTAGTCTTATCATGCCCGTGTTTTAAGTACAGGTGCTCTCCGAGTCTCAGAATCCCCTTTTCTGCTTTGACAACACCCGTGACCTCATCCTGATGCATTGCCGAAATTAAAGACCACAGCTTTTTGCTGATGCCCTCCGGTACAGGCTGGGCTAGGGAGCAGAGGGACTGGACCCTACTTCTACCTGGTTTAGCCTGGGCATCTTTCTGTGAAAGCCGGCACCTGGCCACATGCCTCCACAGCGACTTTCGCTTAAGCAATGCCCCACAGTCTATACAGTGCAAAAACTCACTGGATTTAACTGGGGAATTTGGCTGTTTAGCTGGGACTAAAGTTCCAATGCCGGCCTTTAAAACCTCAAAATTGTGCTCACGGTTTCCACTATTCCTGATCAAATCAAACTGAAGTTTACGTGCTTTAGATTTCACAGGTAGAGCCAATGCTCTGGCTACGTCACTTTCATTTCCATGTTTTCTAGTCAAATGACGGGACATTTTGTGGCAGGACATTGAACAGTAGAGGCAGAAGTGTCTCTTGCTATAAACTCGCCCCCCATTTTCTTCTTTTGCAGCTGCATGATAACAATCTTATTTGCCTTTGGTTCGTCACTTTCCGAGTCTTGAAGAAAAGTGTTTTTGATTTTTCTTTTTCCATACTTTTTTACAGGTTTCTTCTTGACAGTTAAATCGTCAGAATCTGAGTCGACTTCATCAATTAGGGACTCTTGACTAAGCTGCACAAACAACAAATAATTTGTAATCATTCTATATAACAATTTGAAGTCATGACTTGTAGTCAGCACTTACCAGTGGTTTGTAAGCGTGCGCTTCAGTGTGCTCCTCCATGATTTCTTGCAGCCTAATGAACCACACACTTGCACCTTTTTCTAGCCTGACACCTGATTTCCTCTGTTGTGCTGCTCCATGATTGGCTCCAGCCTGCTGGACTGAAATTGCCCCAGTGTGCCCCTCCTTGATATCCCGCAACCCACCACCAGGGTTCCGACACATAACACACTTTTTTCAGGAAAGTAAACCTCCAGGGGTCCTTTCCATATTTTTACAGAGACTGCATAAGGACCGTTAGAAAAGCATTACCCATTGATTATTAAGCTTGGACCAGTGGGGTCCGGTGTTCGGGCCCCACCACGTAAAACCAGTCCCCATGACGTGAGTGGAATCTCAGGTTATGGAACCCACCAGGAGTTGAAAACAAGTGCACACACACACATTTCCCCCCTCCATTGATACGCAACATCCACACGCATCATCTCTCCCCTCTGTTACTAGTCCGCCAAAGTTGCACACTGGTGCGGGTCAGAACTACATTGGAGCTTATATTGTACACACACACACACACACATACATGTATTGTACACACACACACACACACACATACATGTATTGTACACACACACACACACACACATACCAGTCTGTCGTGCTCCTCTGTGTCACGGAGCCCAAAGGATCCTTGCAAATACGTGGCTTCAGTCAAACCATATGGACCATGTGTGTGCTGATGGTCCTTGTCGTTAGATCAGCTCCACACACATCACTTTTAAACTTTAGCAGAGACCAGTGAGCAGAGAGTGACGTCCACATGCTCTGACCATGTGGACGTCACTCTCTGCTCTGACCATGTGGACGTCACTCTCTGCTCTGACCATGTGGACGTCACTCGCTGCTCTGACCATGTGGACGTCCCTTGCTGCTCTGACCATGTGGACGTCACTCTCTGCTCTGACCATGTGGACGTCACTCGCTGCTCTGACCATGTGGACGTCACTCGCTGCTCTGACCATGTGGACGTCACTCGCTGCTCTGACCATGTGGACGTCACTCTCTGCTCTGACCATGTGGACGTCACTCGCTGCTCTGACCATGTGGACGTCACTCGCTGCTCTGACCATGTGGACGTCACTCTGCTCTGACCATGTGGACGTCACTCTCTGCTCTGACCATGTGGACGTCACTCACTGCTCTGACCATGTGGACGTCACTCTGCTCTGACCATGTGGACGTCACTCTCTGCTCTGACCATGTGGACGTCACTCTGCTCTGACCATGTGGACGTCACTCTCTGCTCTGACCATGTGGACGTCACTCTCTGCTCTGACCATGTGGACGTCACTCGCTGCTCTGACCATGTGGACGTCATTCTCTGCTCTGACCATGTGGACGTCACTCGCTGCTCTGACCATGTGGACGTCACTCTGCTCTGACCATGTGGACGTCACTCTGCTCTGACCATGTGGACGTCCCTCTCTGCTCTGACCATGTGGACGTCACTCTGCTCTGACCATGTGGACGTCACTCTCTGCTCTGACCATGTGGACGTCACTCTGCTCTGACCATGTGGACGTCACTCTCTGCTCTGACCATGTGGACGTCACTCTCTGCTCTGACCATGTGGAGGTCACTCTGCTCTGACCATGTGGACGTCACTCTGCTCTGACCATGTGGACGTCACTCTCTGCTCTGACCATGTGGACGTCACTCTGCTCTGACCATGTGGACGTCACTCTCTGCTCTGACCATGTGGACGTCACTCTCTGCTCTGACCATGTGGACGTCACTCGCTGCTCTGACCATGTGGACGTCCCTTGCTGCTCTGACCATGTGGACGTCACTCTCTGCTCTGACCATGTGGACGTCACTCTCTGCTCTGACCATGTGGACGTCACTCGCTGCTCTGACCATGTGGACGTCACTCTGCTCTGACCATGTGGACGTCACTCGCTGCTCTGACCATGTGGACGTCACTCGCTGCTCTGACCATGTGGACGTCACTCGCTGCTCTGACCATGTGGACGTCACTCTCTGCTCTGACCATGTGGACGTCACTCGCTGCTCTGACCATGTGGACGTCACTCGCTGCTCTGACCATGTGGACGTCACTCTCTGCTCTGACCATGTGGACGTCACTCTGCTCTGACCATGTGGACGTCACTCTCTGCTCTGACCATGTGGACGTCACTCTCTGCTCTGACCATGTGGACGTCACTCTCTGCTCTGACCATGTGGACGTCACTCTCTGCTCTGACCATGTGGACGTCACTCGCTGCTCTGACCATGTGGACGTCATTCTCTGCTCTGACCATGTGGACGTCACTCGCTGCTCTGACCATGTGGACGTCACTCTGCTCTGACCATGTGGACGTCACTCTGCTCTGACCATGTGGACGTCACTCTCTGCTCTGACCATGTGGACGTCACTCTGCTCTGACCATGTGGACGTCACTCTCTGCTCTGACCATGTGGACGTCACTCTCTGCTCTGACCATGTGGACGTCACTCGCTGCTCTGACCATGTGGACGTCACTCTGCTCTGACCATGTGGACGTCACTCTGCTCTGACCATGTGGACGTCACTCTGCTCTGACCATGTGGACGTCACTCTGCTCTGACCATGTGGACGTCACTCTCTGCTCTGACCATGTGGACGTCACTCTGCTCTGACCATGTGGACGTCACTCTCTGCTCTGACCATGTGGACGTCACTCTCTGCTCTGACCATGTGGACGTCACTCTGCTCTGACCATGTGGACGTCACTCTCTGCTCTGACCATGTGGACGTCACTCTGCTCTGACCATGTGGGCGTCACTCGCAGCTCTGACCATGTGGACGTCACTCGCTGCTCTGACCATGTGGACGTCACTCTCTGCTCTGACCATGTGGACGTCACTCTGCTCTGACCATGTGGACGTCACTCTCTGCTCTGACCATGTGGACGTCACTCTCTGCTCTGACCATGTGGACGTCACTCTCTGCTCTGACCATGTGGACGTCACTCTCTGCTCTGACCATGTGGACGTCACTCGCTGCTCTGACCATGTGGACGTCATTCTCTGCTCTGACCATGTGGACGTCACTCGCTGCTCTGACCATGTGGACGTCACTCTGCTCTGACCATGTGGACGTCACTCTGCTCTGACCATGTGGACGTCACTCTCTGCTCTGACCATGTGGACGTCACTCTGCTCTGACCATGTGGACGTCACTCTCTGCTCTGACCATGTGGACGTCACTCTCTGCTCTGACCATGTGGACGTCACTCGCTGCTCTGACCATGTGGACGTCACTCTGCTCTGACCATGTGGACGTCACTCTGCTCTGACCATGTGGACGTCACTCTGCTCTGACCATGTGGACGTCACTCTGCTCTGACCATGTGGACGTCACTCTGCTCTGACCATGTGGACGTCACTCTGCTCTGACCATGTGGACGTCACTCTCTGCTCTGACCATGTGGACGTCACTCTGCTCTGACCATGTGGACGTCACTCTCTGCTCTGACCATGTGGACGTCACTCTGCTCTGACCATGTGGGCGTCACTCGCAGCACAGCAGAACGGGGAGATTAAAACAGCAGTGCACAAAGGAGTTGAAGCCGTTGTGGTTTTTGGTGCCGCTGTCTCGGTTCTGATCCAGTAGAAATCAGAGCTGCTCGTATGAAAAGTACGAAGCTCGAAATGGCTGTTATTTCAAAGAACGTGGAATATTTTAAACTACGCGGTTATTTAACCAGTTTCAACTGGTTAATGAGGCTCGGTGGTCGGTCATGAAAATTCAGAGTATTTACATCCCTAGTATCAGTGCTAACGCCTCCTGTTGTATCAGTGCTAACACCTCCTGTTGTATCAGTGCTAACACCTCCTGTTGTATCAGTGCTAACACCTCCTGTTGTATCAGTGCTAACACCTCCTGTTGTATCAGTGCTAACACCTCCTGTTGTATCGGCGCTAACGCCTCCTGTTGTATCAGTGCTAACACCTCCTGTTGTATCAGTGCTAACGCCTCCTGTTGTATCAGTGCTAACACCTCCTGTTGTATCGGCGCCAACACCTCCTGTTGTATCAGTGCTAACACCTCCTGTTGTATTGACGCTAACACCTCCTGTTGTATCAGTGCTAACACCTCCTGTTGTGTCAGTGCTAACACCTCCTGTTGTATCGACGCTAAAACCTCCTGTTGTGTCAGTGCTAACACCTCCTGTTGTATCAGTGCTAACACCTCCTGTTGTGTCAGTGCTAACACCTCCTGTTGTGTCAGTGCTAACACCTCCTGTTGTATCAGTGCTAACACCTCCTGTTGTGTCAGTGCTAACACCTCCTGTTGTGTCAGTGCTAACACCTCCTGTTGTATCAGTGCTAACACCTCCTGTTGTATCAGTGCTAACACCTCCTGTTGTGTCAGTGCTAACACCTCCTGTTGTGTCAGTGCTAACACCTCCTGTTGTATCAGTGCTAACACCTCCTGTTGTGTCAGTGCTAACACCTCCTGTTGTATCAGTGCTAACACCTCCTGTTGTATCAGTGCTAACACCTCCTGTTGTATCGGCGCCAACACCTCCTGTTGTATCAGTGCTAACACCTCCTGTTGTATCGACGCTAAAACCTCCTGTTGTGTCAGTGCTAACACCTCCTGTTGTGTCAGTGCTAACACCTCCTGTTGTGTCAGTGCTAACACCTCCTGTTGTGTCAGTGCTAACACCTCCTGTTGTGTCAGTGCTAACACCTCCTGTTGTGTCAGTGCTAACACCTCCTGTTGTGTCAGTGCTAACACCTCCTGTTGTATCAGTGCTAACACCTCCTGTTGTATCAGTGCTAACACCTCCTGTTGTATCGGCGCCAACACCTCCTGTTGTATCAGTGCTAACACCTCCTGTTGTATCGACGCTAACACCTCCTGTTGTATCAGTGCTAACACCTCCTGTTGTGTCAGTGCTAACACCTCCTGTTGTATCGACGCTAAAACCTCCTGTTGTGTCAGTGCTAACACCTCCTGTTGTGTCAGTGCTAACACCTCCTGTTGTGTCAGTGCTAACACCTCCTGTTGTGTCAGTGCTAACACCTCCTGTTGTGTCAGTGCTAACACCTCCTGTTGTATCAGTGCTAACACCTCCTGTTGTGTCAGTGCTAACACCTCCTGTTGTATCAGTGCTAACACCTCCTGTTGTATCAGTGCTAACACCTCCTGTTGTATCAGTGCTAACACCTCCTGTTGTGTCAGTGCTAACACCTCCTGTTGTATCGACGCTAACACCTCCTGTTGTATCAGTGCTAACACCTCCTGTTGTGTCAGTGCTAACACCTCCTGTTGTATCAGTGTTAACACCTCCTGTTGTGTCAGTGCTAACACCTCCTGTTGTATCAGTGCTAACACCTCCTGTTGTATCAGTGCTAACACCTCCTGTTGTATCGGCGCCAACACCTCCTGTTGTATCAGTGCTAACACCTCCTGTTGTATCGACGCTAACACCTCCTGTTGTATCAGTGCTAACACCTCCTGTTGTGTCAGTGCTAACACCTCCTGTTGTATCGACGCTAAAACCTCCTGTTGTGTCAGTGCTAACACCTCCTGTTGTATCAGTGCTAACACCTCCTGTTGTATCAGTGCTAACACCTCCTGTTGTGTCAGTGCTAACACCTCCTGTTGTATCAGTGCTAACACCTCCTGTTGTATCAGTGCTAACACCTCCTGTTGTATCAGTGCTAACACCTCCTGTTGTATCAGTGCTAACACCTCCTGTTGTGTCAGTGCTAACACCTCCTGTTGTATCAGTGCTAACACCTCCTGTTGTATCGACGCTAACACCTCCTGTTGTATCAGTGCTAACACCTCCTGTTGTGTCAGTGCTAACACCTCCTGTTGTGTCAGTGCTAACACCTCCTGTTGTGTCAGTGCTAACACCTCCTGTTGTGTCAGTGCTAACACCTCCTGTTGTATCAGTGCTAACACCTCCTGTTGTGTCAGTGCTAACACCTCCTGTTGTATCAGTGCTAACACCTCCTGTTGTATCAGTGTTAACACCTCCTGTTGTGTCAGTGCTAACACCTCCTGTTGTATCAGTGCTAACACCTCCTCATGTATCAGTGCTAACACCTCCTGTTGTATCAGTGTTAACACCTCCTGTTGTGTCAGTGCTAACACCTCCTGTTGTATCAGTGCTAACACCTCCTGTTGTATCAGTGTTAACACCTCCTGTTGTATCAGTGCTAACACCTCCTGTTGTGTCAGTGCTAACACCTCCTGTTGTATAGACGCTAACACCTCCTGTTGTGTCAGTGCTAACACCTCCTGTTGTATCAGTGCTAACACCTCCTGTTGTATCAGTGCTAACACCTCCTGTTGTATCAGTGCTAACACCTCCTGTTGTATTGACGCTAACACCTCCTGTTGTGTCAGTGCTAACACCTCCTGTTGTATCAGTGCTAACACCTCCTGTTGTATCAGTGCTAACACCTCCTGTTGTATCAGTGCTAACACCTCCTGTTGTATCGGCGCTAACACCTCCTGTTGTATCAGTGCTAACGCCTCCTGTTGTATCAGTGCTAACACCTCCTGTTGTATCAGTGCTAACACCTCCTGTTGTATCAGTGCTAACACCTCCTGTTGTATCGGCGCTAACACCTCCTGTTGTATCAGTGCTAACACCTCCTGTTGTATCAGTGCTAACACCTCCTGTTGTATCAGTGCTAACACCTCCTGTTGTATCAGTGCTAACACCTCCTGTTGTATCAGTGCTAACACCTCCTGTTGTATCGGCGCTAACACCTCCTGTTGTATCAGTGCTAACACCTCCTGTTGTATCAGTGCTAACACCTCCTGTTGTATCAGTGCTAACACCTCCTGTTGTATCAGTGCTAACACCTCCTGTTGTATCAGTGCTAACACCTCCTGTTGTATCAATGCTAACACCTCCTGTTGTATCAGTGCTAACACCTCCTGTTGTATCAGTGCTAACACCTCCTGTTGTATCAGTGCTAACACCTCCTGTTGTATCGGCGCTAACACCTCCTGTTGTATCAGTGCTAACACCTCCTGTTGTATCAGTGCTAACACCTCCTGTTGTATCAGTGCTAACACCTCCTGTTGTATCAGTGCTAACACCTCCTGTTGTATCGGTGCTAACACCTCCTGTTGTATCGGCGCTAACGCCTCCTGTTGTATCAGTGCTAACGCCTCCTGTTGTATCAGTGCTAACACCTCCTGTTGTATCAGTGCTAACACCTCCTGTTGTATTAGTGCTAACACCTCCTGTTGTATCAGTGCTAACACCTCCTGTTGTATCGGCGCTAACACCTCCTGTTGTATCAGTGCTAACACCTCCTGTTGTATCGACGCTAACACCTCCTGTTGTATCAGTGCTAACGCCTCCTGTTGTATCGACGCCAACACCTCCTGTTGTATCAGTGCTAACACCTCCTGTTGTATCAGTGCTAACACCTCCTGTTGTATCAGTGCTAACGCCTCCTGTTGTATCGACGCTAACACCTCCTGTTGTGTCAGTGCTAACACCTCCTGTTGTATTGACGCTAACACCTCCTGTTGTGTCAGTGCTAACGCCTCCTGTTGTATCAGTGCTAACGCCTCCTGTTGTATCAGTGCTAACACCTCCTGTTGTATCAGTGCTAACGCCTCCTGTTGTATCAGTGCTAACGCCTCCTGTTGTATCAGTGCTAACACCTCCTGTTGTATTGACGCTAACACCTCCTGTTGTATCAGTGCTAACACCTCCTGTTGTATCAGTGCTAACGCCTCCTGTTGTATCAGTGCTAACACCTCCTGTTGTATCGACGCTACCACCTCCTGTTGTATTAACGCTAACACCTCCTGTTGTATCAGTGCTAACACCTCCTGTTGTATCAGTGCTAACACCTCCTGTTGTATCAGTGCTAACACCTCCTGTTGTATCAGTGCCAACACCTCCTGTTGTATCAGTGCTAACACCTCCTGTTGTATTAACGCTAGCACCTCCTGTTGTATCAGTGCTAACACCTCCTGTTGTGTCAGTGCTAACACCTCCTGTTGTATCAGTGCTAACACCTCCTGTTGTATCAGTGCTAACGCCTCCTGTTGTATCAGTGCTAACACCTCCTGTTGTATCAGTGCTAACACCTCCTGTTGTATTAACGCTAGCACCTCCTGTTGTATCGGCGCTAAAACCTCCTGTTGTGTCAGTGCTAACACCTCCTGTTGTGTCAGTGCTAACACCTCCTGTTGTATCAGTGCTAACACCTCCTGTTGTATCGACGCTAACACCTCCTGTTGTGTCAGTGCTAACACCTCCTGTTGTATCGACGCTAACACCTCCTGTTGTATCAGTGCTAACACCTCCTGTTGTGTCAGTGCTAACACCTCCTGTTGTATCGACGCTAAAACCTCCTGTTGTGTCAGTGCTAACACCTCCTGTTGTGTCAGTGCTAACACCTCCTGTTGTGTCAGTGCTAACACCTCCTGTTGTGTCAGTGCTAACACCTCCTGTTGTGTCAGTGCTAACACCTCCTGTTGTATCAGTGCTAACACCTCCTGTTGTGTCAGTGCTAACACCTCCTGTTGTATCAGTGCTAACACCTCCTGTTGTATCAGTGCTAACACCTCCTGTTGTGTCAGTGCTAACACCTCCTGTTGTGTCAGTGCTAACACCTCCTCATGTATCAGTGCTAACACCTCCTGTTGTATCAGTGTTAACACCTCCTGTTGTATCAGTGCTAACACCTCCTGTTGTGTCAGTGCTAACACCTCCTGTTGTATAGACGCTAACACCTCCTGTTGTGTCAGTGCTAACACCTCCTGTTGTGTCAGTGCTAACACATCCTGTTGTATCAGTGCTAACACCTCCTGTTGTATCGACGCTAACACCTCCTGTTGTGTCAGTGCTAACACCTCCTGTTGTGTCAGTGCTAACACCTCCTGTTGTGTCAGTGCTAACACCTCCTGTTGTTCATGAATCGTCTAAACTGACACTGGACTTGTTTCTTTAATAAAACAGTATTTTATTGTTTTAAATGTGTGTAAATTGTGGATGATAAACGTGCCGTAGTTCTTTGAAATCCTCTGGGATTATGAGTTTTCTGTCTTTCCTGTGGTTTTCCAAACAACACGACCACCGTTCCCATGGCTACAGTCCTTTCCCTCACGGGTCATGAACCCCTGATGTTCCTTTGTGTGTTGGATGTTCATAAACTCTGACATTGTGAAGAGCGTCTCTAAAGCCTCATGTCTAATGGAAGACTTCATGTCTATATAAAACCATAATCCACATGTTCCTCTTTGATGCATGCATTTATTTATGGCGCGCACTGGCTCTGAATCACTGCAGGTTTAACATTACGGCGGATCTTCCAAATGGACGTCTCATTTATTAAAATGTCCGTCGTTTTGAACTAACATTTGTGCGTTTGCGTTTAACCCGAGCAGCTCTGGGACGTCTCACTCTGCTCCAGACTCTTTACTGTCACCGCTAAAAGGTCCACGGCTTCAGTGGAAACCATTCATTTATTTATATTTGAACATATTTGAGTTTTCCAGGACTCCCTGAAGGAGCTTCCACGCTGCGATGGTAACGTCACCAGGAATCTTTCTCACCTACGCTGCCTACGGTTTGTGACAAGACGCTTGAAGCTTTGAATCGTTAAACTGTTCGAGTTCTTTCAGAGAAACAGGAAAGAGACTTCACCTTTAATCATCTCCTCAACCATCGTTCTTAAAGCTCGGAACTGAAATCCTCCTCTTTGGGGCGTCTCACCTGGTCTTAGGCTCCTTTACCATCAAACTGCATCCATACCATTTGGTAAAGGCCTAACTGTTATTAGTGATGCAACATCTTCCAAAATCCCAAAAACAAAAAAGTGTATTGCTTTTTTCATTCTTCAGTAAGCCCATGATGCACTGGGACAGGGCGGTCGCATCTGAAAACAACAAATACAAACTGGATCAAGGCCTTTGAAATCAGGAAGCAGCAACAACAGCATGAACCGGGACGAGGGGGCCTTCCTCCTGTCGCACACATGGGACACCCTCCTCCAGAGACCACCGAGAGGGGGCGTGGTCAGTCTGTCAATCAGGCTGACCACGCCCACTCGGGACGTGACGTCAGCTGATAAATGACACGTGACCAAGACGCTCAGGGCTCTGCAGCAGAAACATGTGAACATCATACATCTACATGTTTTACTAAAGAACCGAAAAAGTGTTTTAACTCGTGACAAAATAAACACTTTTGAATCTAAAAATTACATTGCTTTAAAGGGTTCATCTAATCTCGTCTAAATAACACACAGTAACTATAAGTACAGTGAATATATATGTAATATATCTCTGCAGGTGAAAGCCCGATCCTCTGAAGCTAAGCAGGGCAGGGCCTGGTCAGTACTCTGATGGGAGACCTCTGAAGCTAAGCAGGGCAGGGCCTGGTCAGTACTCTGATGGGAGACCTCTGAAGCTAAGCAGGGCAGGGCCTGGTCAGTACTCTGATGGGAGACCTCTGAAGCTAAGCAGGGCAGGGCCTGGTCAGTACTCTGATGGGAGACCTCTGAAGCTAAGCAGGGCAGGGCCTGGTCAGTACTCTGATGGGAGACCTCTGAAGCTAAGCAGGGCAGGGCCTGGTCAGTACTCTGATGGGAGACCTCTGAAGCTAAGCAGGATCAGTACAACAGTTTAAAGTCCTCTGAGATTATACTGTTGTGATTCAGGGCCATGTTTGTTCATGTGTTACATGAAATTGCACTGTCCCCTTTCAAATAAACCAATCTAATCTAATCAGGGCGACGCAAGAATCAACTAAATTGGATCAATATAATATAATGTCACTTTATTAAATCTCTTTCAAATCATGTTTTCAGTAAATATTTGTAAATATATCTTGTAGAGATTTTAAATGATTTAGTTCTGAATGTTTTCTTCACAGAGTTGCTCTTTCAGCCTCTGGAGTCTGCACTGTTCCCATTAAACCAGAGCCTTATGTTTTTATCTAAAGGTTTCTCTGAGAACATAGGGACGCAGCCCGGTGCTGCTGTGTTCACGCCTCACAGACTTGTGGGTAATGGTTGAAGGCGCTTACATCCTTTGCAGTGTCTGGGGTATTCTGCTGAGCGCTTGACAAGGGTCCCACAGGAGGCCCCCGGTGTCACCGTCTGGCCTGAGGGCGAGGGGGGGGCACGGGGGGGGGGGGCCGTGGACAGGAATCAACCATCTCCCATCTCCACCGGGACGCCGCCGAGAGAGACCGTCACGAGAATCTATTTTCAACTGCAGTTTGTCCCAAAAGACAGGATTTTATATAGTTCAGTGAAAAGAACCTCCAGGACAAACCAGAGACGGCTGTGGATGGAATAACACACACGGAAGAGGCGGCTGTGGACGGAATAACACACACGGAAGAGACGGCTGTGGACGGAATAACACACACGGAAGAGACGGCTGTGGACGGAATAACACACACGGAAGAGGCGGCTGTGGACGGAATAACACACGGAAGAGGCGGCTGTGGACGGAATAACACACGGAAGAGGCGGCTGTGGACGGAATAACACACGGAAGAGGCGGCTGTGGACGGAATAACACACACGGAAGAGGCGGCTGTGGACGGAATAACACACACGGAAGAGGCGGCTGTGGACGGAATAACACACACGGATGAGACGGCTGTGGACGGAATAACACACACGGAAGAGACGGCTGTGGACGGAATAACACACACGGAAGAGACGGCTGTGGACGGAATAACACACACGGAAGAGACGGCTGTGGACGGAATAACACACACGGAAGAGGTGGCTGTGGACGGAATAACACACGGAAGAGGCGGCTGTGGACGGAATAACACACACGGAAGAGGTGGCTGTGGACGGAATAAAACACGGAAGAGGCGGCTGTGGACGGAATAACACACACGGAAGAGGCGGCTGTGGACGGAATAACACACACGGATGAGACGGCTGTGGACGGAATAACACACACGGAAGAGACGGCTGTGGACGGAATAACACACACGGAAGAGACTGCTGTGGACGGAATAACACACGGAAGAGGAACGGGACAAAAATAATCATTATAATGCAACGGTTTTATATAATGCTTCAAATTATTATTCTTTCTCTCCAAACACAGTGGTGATAAACTACTACTGTAGCCACAGCTGCCTTGGGGCACACTGACAGAAGCGAGGCAACCAGTCTGTGCCATCGGCCCCTCCCACCACCACCAACCATTCACACACACCAGACCCATTCTAATGTGGGGGAAGTGTCTTGCCTAAGGACAACCAAATTATTGCCAAAGCAGATGATTTGACGGCTACAATCAGGAGTGATGTGTTCATTCACATGAACTGTCCCGACCAAATAAACTATAAATAATAAACCACAGTTTGGCACTTTACAGCCAAACTGAAACGTCTAGAGTAGCATAGCCAGTTAGCGGCATGCTAACACCTCCTCCCAGTCTTTGGTTAGAAGTGTAAACACTCGTCTCTCTGTTCTCGGTCGTCTGAATCTTTCTGTTTCTGTGTGTGGTTTATCTCTTTATGTCATTGTTTTATGAAATTATGTTTTACTATGTGAGCGTTTCTGCCTTGAACTCTTTTTCTCCAAGAGAATATCAAGTGTTAGTTATCATAGCAACTGATTACTGTCACCATAGCAACATACTGTTTACTGTCACCATAGCAACACACCGTTTACTGTCCCCTAGCAACACACTGTTTACTGTCACCATAGCACCACACTGTTTACTGTCACCTTAGCAACACACTGATTACTGTCACCATAGCAACACACTGTTTACTGTCACCTTAGCAACACACCGTTTACTGTCACCATAGCAACACACTGTTTACTGTCACCTTAGCAACACACTGTTTACTGTCACCTTAGCAACACACCGTTTACTGTCACCATAGCAACACACTGTTTACTGTCACCTTAGCAACACACTGTTTACTGTCACCATAGCAACACACTGTTTACTGTCACCATAGCCACACACCGTTTACTGTCCCCATAGCAACACACAGTTTACTGTCACCATAGCAACACACAGTTTACTGTCAGAAGGTAGCATTAGCCTTTGCAGTATGTCAACAGCTTGAGCACTTGAGTGAAAGAAGAAACTTTATTAGTTACTTTGTTTTTATGAATCTATTTTTTTTTTTTTAAATGTTTTCTACATTAAATTTAAAAGCAGCTTTTCTTACGGCTGCTGCCTTTCCTTGTTTGCCACGTCTTCACGGGGCTTAACTCTGACATCTCTCCCGTCTCCTCGGAGCATAATTGAGTATTTACAAGACACCGGCTCCTGAATATTTATGGCCACGCAGCACTTGATAAATTATGAGACGTGCAACAGTCGAGCACTTCTCTGGTCCTTTCTCAGACAATCACACTTTGGTCCAATCTGAAACCAGCAACAGTAATGACACCAGCAACAAGTATGACACCAGCAACAGTAATGACACCAGCAACAAGTATGACACCAGCAACAACAATGACACCAGCAACAACAATAACACCAGCAACAATACTGACACCAGCAACAAAAATGACACCAGCAACAACAATGACATCAGCAACAAAAATGACACCAGCAACAAAAATGACACCAGCAACACTAATGACACCAGCAACAATAATGAATAATGAACCACTGGACTGACCCATGAACACACAACCAACACTGGACTGACCCATGAACACACAACCTGAACACACAACCAACACTGGACTGACCCATGAACACACAACCTGAACACACAACCAACACTGGACTGACCCATGAACACACAACCAACACTGGACTGACCCATGAACACACAACCTGAACACACAACCAACACTGGACTGACCCATGAACACACAACCAACACTGGACTGACCCATGAACACACAACATGAACACACAACCAACACTGTACTGACCCATGAACACACAACAATACTGGACTGACCCATGAACACACAACATGAACACACAACAATACTGGACTGACCCATGAACACACAACCTGAACACACAACAACACTGGACTGACCCATGAACACACAGTATTAAATGCTGTATTATAATATTTATTTGTGTATTCTATATTTAACCTTTGTTTAACCCGAGCCATTGACTCGGACTCGGACAAAAGCAGAAGTTACAGATAATGACATAAAATGACAGATGATAAAAACATTTATGATAAACACATGTTTCTGACCATGACACTGTGACACTAAGTTTTATTTCAGAATAAATGTATGTTTTTATAATCTTCTCGAGCACAACTAGACTTGGAGAGGGTCCTGCTACAGACTGGATACAGTACAGTCCTAATGTCAATCATTCTGGGGATACATTTTCATTGGTGTTCTCTCTGGAGAGGGCGGTTCTTTCATGATATTTGGGAACATTCTCTGATATTGTATGGACCATGGATTAAGTGATCGGGCCTAGTGTGGGTCAGGACTCAGATTGTGTATCAGTTGTTATGACTCTAACGTGATCTTTGGATGTCTCGATGTGACACATACTGTATGTGTGACATAAGATAATAAAACATTGGTTTCTATTTGCTCCGGGAGGACCAGAAGTGTCCGAAACACGTCTCTTCCTGATATTCCGTCCTCCACGCTGTGAGCTCAGACCGATCAGCACTGGCGTTGGTCTGAATGGGCGGACATCTTGGATCTTTTAATTGTAATAGTTCCTGTGGTTGCTTTGACAATGGCCTGGAGCGAACGGGCCTTTAGCCTGAACATGTTCTGGTCCATGTCCTGTTCCCGTGTTGCTGCGGCGCTCACTTCCTCTTCAGTCCGAGGTAATAAAGCATTTTTCACTCAGGTCTGACTTTGGAGTAAATGAAATAGGCTCGTGGAGGTTCTGACGGGCAGCTCTCACAAAGCCCGCTCCAAATGAATCCACAGACGAGGACTCATCCTGCGACATCACAGACACACGGCTAATATGGGCTGTCGGAAGAACAGGCGGGAAGAGCAGTGCATTCTGGGCCTTCTCACTCCGATCACATCCTGGCTTTTCTGAAAACTAAAAAAGACGGCTCTGGAATGTGATGGAAGCGAAGGCAGAAGAGGAATATAATAATGCATCGTTTAATACAGAGCGTTTCTGGACTCTCCAAGATGTAGATATTCATACACTCTAAACACGGAGGTGATAATACGTAGCCACAGCTGCCCTGGGGCACACTGACAGAGGCGAGGCAACCACTCTAAAAAGTAAGTTTTAGTCTGGTTTTACAGACCAAGGTCACTCAAAGTACTTTACAATTTCTGACTTGCATCTGATTGTCCTGCATCTCCTGGTCTCCTGGGGGCAGCGGTGGTCGTGGCCGGTCACATCCCGATCTGGTTCCAGGACAAACATTATGAAGAACAGCACAGGCAGTCACGATCTGAGTACACAAGGCTACCTTCACCTCCAACGCCTTCAACATTGTGGTTCTCCAGCAAGTCAAGGTCAATAATAAAGCCATTTCATTTTTACCGTTTAGATTTGTCCCAAAGGTTTCATTGAGGAATTATGTGACTGAGCAGGACGCTAATATGGTTCTATCACTGTGGTCTCAGGTTAGCTTTAGCCTGTATCCTGTAGCCTGTACAATACAATACAATACAATACAATACAATGTATTGTTGTATAGCCCTAGGTCACAACAGAAGTCATCTCAGAGACTTAACAAAACCATTGAAATCACCAACACAGGTCAGAGAATCAACAGTTAAAACACATGAAGAATATAAAGCACACACAGAAGAAAATGTCCATACATGTTGTAGAATGCTAAAGTGTCCTGATCATCACCAATCCTTTCTGTTGGACACTAACTGTCCAACAAGACCCTCCTGCATCCACAAGGAACAACTCTTAAAAAACCCAGTGGGAAAAAGTGAGAAACCTTGGAGGAGAACTAGGGAAACCCACAGGGAGGGAGACCCATATGAGAAAGGGATCCGCTCCTCCGGACGGACAGGCTAATGATCTAGGACCTAAGCTAGCTACAGAACGTGGACCAGTGGCCGCTGAACGTGGACAGGTCCGGTGCAGGACTGAAGCACTCCCAGGCGGGTCGGGCGGGGCAGTCTGCAGGTGTAGATGGAGGAGGCCAGGCTCAGAGATCCCGTCATCGTACCATGAAACAGACAATGGGACAACGGGTGAATAGCAATGAACAAACTACAGTCAGAATCCTAATAATACTAAACAGATAAAGTAGGAAGGAGAGGATAGTGCAGTTACCATACTTCTCCAGCAGGGGGCTCCCTATGCAGCTTGACTGACAGTCTGAGGAGTTTAGCCTTCCCTGAGTCTTACCTTCCTAGCCATATGCTAAACTAAAGAGGACTGTTTTAGTCTAGCCTTGAATAAAGAGAGCGTATCTGAAAGGAGGCGAGACAGCAGCAGCCACGGCTAGGCTAGGCTAGGCTAGGCTAGGCTAGGCTACAGCACCAAGACTCATGGATTGCACACCAGGTGTGCAAACCGATCCAGGCAAACCTAATTATATATTATATATCATATACATCATATATACCATACATACCATATATATCATATATAATACACAACATAACATACAGCATAATATATAACATAATATACAACATAACACAATACATTATTGTATAATATATAACATAATATATAACATAATACAGCATAAGTTTGTGTAAGCTCTCAGTCGTACAGGGATTAGTCAAAGCAAAGGAAGGTTTCTCACCCATCATCTGTACTTCTTAGCAAGTTTTCCCGACGTTTCGTCCTCAACCTAGCGGACTTCTTCAGGGAATGAATTCTCGGACCGCGCGTTGGAGATTTATAACCTATGGGTGTGGTTAGCCACGCCCTAATCCTGATACTAACTCATAAACAATCTACGGTCTGATGTAGAAGGGAGCAGGTCTAACGACCCTGCTGAGGCTAACGACCCTAACTCCTTAGCATGTCACAGACCTATTGTCTGCTGGGATCATCAAGTGGAGTGCAGGTCTCACCCCTCCTAACTCATTAGCATGTCACTGACCTTGTCCCAAGTTAGGGCGTTGTTTTTAGGATGTCGTCATAGATGCGAGGCAAAACAAATCTTAACCCTCCTCCTCTGTTAAGAGAAGGTTTTTGTTTCCTCACAAAAATGGCTTCTTTCACCCCTCTCTCAAACCAATTCTTCTCCCGAGCCAGAATTTTAACCTCTGTGTCATCCACCGTGTGGTTGGAGGCCTTGAGGTGGAGATGAACAGCCGACTGTGGCCCACTAGAGTTTTCTCTACGATGTTGGTAAAGTCGTTTCTGTAGAGTCTGTTTGGTTTCTCCAATATAGTGGTCAGTGCACTCCTCTTCACTACATTTAATTGAATACACCACATTGCTCTGTTTGTGTCTGGGTGTTTTGTCTTTGGGATGCACTAATTTCTGTCTTAACGTGTTGAAAGGTTTGAAATACACAGGGATTTTGTGTTGCCTAAAGATTCTTTGTAGTTTCTCTGAAACTCCCGCCACATACGGTAAGGACACGCCTCTCCTCCTACTTTCTTCTGTCTGTTGGACTGTGTCTCTGGCCTTTCTCGTCCTTTGGGCTTTAGTAAAAGACCACTTGGGGTAGCCACATCTGGAAAGTGCTCTCTGAACATGTTTGGTTTCTCTGTTCTTTCCCTCCGAGCTTGTGGGGACCTGGTGGGCTCGGTGTTGAAGCGTTCTAATGACCCCGAGTTTGTGTTGTAGCGGATGATTTGAATCAAAGGCCAAGTACTGGTCAGTGTGAGTGGACTTTCTGAAGACCTCAGTCTCTAATTGTCCGTTCTCCAGTATGATGACCAAAGACAAAACACCCAGACACAAACAGAGCATCCATCCATCCATCCATCCATTTTCTTCCGCTTTATCCGTTGCCGGGTCGCGGGGGCAGCAGTCTAAGCAGAGACGCCCAGACTTCCCTATCCACACACACTTCCTCCAGCTCGTCCGGGGGGACCCCAAGGCGTTCCCAGGCCAGCTGAGAGACATATTCTCTCCAGCGTGTCTTGGGTCTTCCCCGGGGCCTCCTCCCGGTGGGACGTGCCCGGAACACCTCCCCAGGGAGGCGTCCTGGACAAACAGAGCAATGTGGTGTATTCAATTAAATGTAGTGAAGAGGAGTGCACTGACCACTATATTGGAGAAACCAAACAGACTCTACAGAAACGACTTTACCAACATCGTAGAGAAAACTCTAGTGGGCCACAGTCGGCTGTTCATCTCCACCTCAAGGCCTCCAACCACACGGTGGATGACACAGAGGTTAAAATTCTGGCTCGGGAGAAGAATTGGTTTGAGAGAGGGGTGAAAGAAGCCATTTTTGTGAGGAAACAAAAACCTTCTCTTAACAGAGGAGGAGGGTTAAGATTTGTTTTGCCTCGCATCTATGACGACATCCTAAAAACAACGCCCTAACTTGGGACAAGGTCAGTGACATGCTAATGAGTTAGGAGGGTGAGACCTGCACTCCACTTGAGCATCCCAGCAGACAATAGGTCTGTGACATGCTAAGGAGTTAGGGTGGTTAGCCTCAGCAGGGTCGTTAGACCTGCTCCCTTCTACATCAGACCGTAGATTGTTTATGAGTTAGTATCAGGATTAGGGCGTGGCTAACCACACCCATAGGTTATAAATCTCCAACGCGCGGTCCGAGAATTCATTCCCTGAAGAAGTCCGCTAGGTTGAGGACGAAACGTCGGGAAAACTTGCTAAGAAGTACAGATGATGGGTGAGAAACCTTCCTTTGCCATAATACAGCATACATATATAACATATACACCATATATTATATATTACCTAATTATATGGCCCTGACCTGTGGAGTCCCACAGGGGTCGATCCTGGGACCTCTTCTGTTCAATCTCTACATGCTGCCGTTAGGTCAGTTAATACGCAGAAACAAAGTGTCCTATCACAACTATGCAGACGACACTCAGATCTATGTCTCACTGACTGCAGGAGAACATGGACCAGTGGACTCACTCCTTCACTGTATCCAACAGATCAGTGAGTGGATGCAAAACAACTTCCTTCAGCTAAACGCAGACAAAACTGAAATGATTGTCTTTGGTCCAGAAACAAAGAGAGAGAGCGTCATCTGTCACCTACAGTCTCTCTCCCTAAAACCTTCAAACAAGGTCAGAAATCTAGGGGTAATACTGGACTCGGACTTAAATTTTAATAGCCACATCAAATCAGTAACATCAGCAGCTTTTTACCATCTAAAAAACATTGCCAGGATCAAAAACATAGTGTCTAAAGCAGACTTGGAGATTCTTATCCATGCATTTGTCTCCAGTAGGTTAGACTACTGCAATGGCCTGCTCACAGGTCTGTCCAAACAGGCTGTAAAACAGCTGCAGTACATTCAAAATGCAGCAGCTCGAGTCCTGACTAGAACCAGGAAGTACGACCACATTAGTCCTGACTAGAACCAGGAAGTACGACCATATTAGTCCTGACTAGAACCAGGAAGTACGACCACATTAGTCCTGACTAGAACCAGGAAGTACATCACATTAGTCCTGACTAGAACCAGGAAGTACGACCACATTAGTCCTGACTAGAACCAGGAAGTACGACCACATTAGTCCTGACTAGAACCAGGAAGTACGACCACATTAGTCCTGACTAGAACCAGGAAGTACGACCACATTAGTCCAGACTAGAACCAGGAAGTACGACCACATTAGTCCTGACTAGAACCAGGAAGTACATCCACATTAGTCCTGACTAGAACCAGGAAGTACATCCATATTAGTCCTGACTAGAACCAGGAAGTACGACCACATTACAGTAGTTCTGACTAGAACCAGGAAGTACATCCACATTAGTCCTGACTAGAACCAGGAAGTACGACCATATTAGTCCTGACTAGAACCAGGAAGTACGACCACATTAGTCCAGACTAGAACCAGGAAGTACATCCACATTAGTCCTGACTAGAACCAGGAAGTACATCCACATTAGTCCTGACTAGAACCAGGAAGTACGACCATATTAGTCCTGACTAGAACCAGGAAGTACGACCATATTAGTCCTGACTAGAACCAGGAAGTACGACCATATTAGTCCTGACTAGAACCAGGAAGTACGACCACATTAGTCCGGTCCTCAGGTCTCTGCACTGGCTTCCTGTGGCTCAGAGAATAGACTTTAAAACAGCTCTGCTTGTTACAAGTCTCTCCATGGCCTCGCACCAAAATATATTAGTGACATGTTAGTCCCGAACCAGCCCGGACTCTGAGGAGCACAGGGACTGGCCTCCTGCTGGGACTCTGAGGAGCACAGGGACTGGCCTCCTGCTGGGACTCTGAGGAGCACAGGGACTGGACTCCTGCTGGGACTCTGAGGAGCACAGGGACTGGACTCCTGCTGGGACTGAGGAGCACAGGGACTGGACTCCTGCTGGGACTGAGGAGCACA